GTTACTTACATCAATTTTTTACATCAATTAATACATTTTTTTTTATAGATTGTGTTTTGTCCAACTAACTTGGATTTAATTTTTTATTTATATACAAGTAGATAATAAATGTATTATTTTAAATTAATATATAATTTTTAACCCTTTGAAAACTATATATCCTAATTAATTTAATTCCTTAAATCTTCTAAATATTAATACCCCGGTGGGACAAAAAATTAGGATAATATAGGAGAAATTAAAACATCATTCTTTTATATAAAACTTAAAAGTATGACTTCGTGGGACCTCTTCCAAAGCTATATATGGTTTTCGCTTTCTTAAATATTCAGTTAGTCTGTTAGGGCCCCTGGCAGCACTAGCGGAGCCAAAAGGGGCCCCTAAAAATCACCTTTTAGATGTTGTGTTTGGAACCTGTAAATTACCCTTCTAGTTGTATTTTCAGTTTTTATGTTTTTTTTTTTTAAATATCAAATGATGAATTATACAACAGAATATAGTTTTTTCTTTTTCAAACTCTCCTACCTCATTTTAAAATTTAAATTTAAGACTTATAACGTGAAAACTCAAAATTTTAATTATTAAAATATCTCCTAAAAAACATGGTATATTTATTTAAATTTACATATATGAACACAATATACATGAATGTCTCTATCTTAAAATTGATTTAATTTTTATTTATAGGCTTTTTAGGCAAAATTGGATTTTTTTTGGAAAGATATTATTAGTAGAGGGCAGCTAAGTTTTCCCGAAATGTTGATATGACAATCAACTAAGATTATGATTTCTTTCTTTGGCCCCAAAATATTACAGTTTAGGAGTAGAGAAACAAAAATGCTTTGAAACATACCACACCAATTCCCCATTTAAAGAACAAATCCCTTGTGTGGGCAAAGGTATCTTAATTAGTTTCCCAAATATAGACTAATCCATGTAGTACTTGCCAAAATGCACCTTCCTTTATAATTGTTTACTCCATTCCTAGTTTCCCACACACAAGGGAAACAAGTAATTAAATTTTACATATACTCAGGTCCTATGGTAGCTAGAGATAGTCATTTTTTATGCAGATGCAGGTTTAATTATGTTCACCTTTTCTTTGGTAATTTAATTTCGTTTGTTATTTATTATTTTTATACTTTTAGATGTTGTATTCGGAATCTCTGAAAAATTAAGAAAAAATACTTTAAAATTATATTATTTTAATAAATTTTTATTAAAAATATTAAAATAACCTATTTCTAAAGTAGGAATGAGACTTTGTTTTGATTTTTTTTCTCATGAAATTTTATTGAAAGATATAATTTTGAAGTTTTTTTTTTATTTTTTGAAAACCCAATTAATAAACAGTAATCTTAATTTATATTGTCAATTGCTACACTACACATGAAAAATGTATAAACTAGAGCGCAGCTATTTCAAAATTAATATTTACAAGATTTTAAAACTTCGGCGTTAATCATTTTTGTTTCAAGAAAACATACTTTATTAAGTTTTATTACCAACAAAAATAAATTCTAAATTTTCATTCATATGCTAGCTAGCTACTCTTATCATCGGATTTGATGATGATACCTTCAAAATCCTTAATCAACTTCACCAAGATCACTCAGTTTGGTCCACTTACTCCCCCCCTACCACTACCAATGACCGTCCAATAGAAGAGCGAAACCACAAAATATTTTCACATTCAAGTAATCCACTTACAATAATGAATTGTGAGAAAACAAAAATTCATGATCTACATAATAATTTTGGTATTGATAATAGTTATGTCTCCATAAAAGACTCACCAACTCACAACTTAAGTGATCCACATTATCATAAAAAAGAAGGGTTTTTTAAACATTTACTTTTAAGACATAAGTTGGTGCATTAATTATATTTTTTATAATTAATTTATATTAAAAAATTAAAAATTAATTTTAATTTTATTAGCTATTCAATAAAAAGATTTTATGAGACATTAGTGATAAAAACAAAGTCAAATCTTGTGATTTTTTTTATAAATATTAAATATATAAATGTACAATTAATATACTTTTATCATGAATGATAAAAAATATAAATTAGACAAACTCTAAGTACAAAAGTAGATATTATTTTTAAAACTAATGGTATCTACATGGACTATTTTAATTAGATTATTTTAATTAGACATTTGATAAAATTAAAATTGATTTTTGTTTTTATATAATTTAATTAATCACCAAAAAAAAAGGACAATAAATGCATAAATAAAGGATAGATTACTTGTGCGTGTACATTAATTGGTCCCTAAGTGAGCCCAACTAAATTTTTGTATGATGGTTGGGTCGGCCTTAATATTGTCCTCTAACTCAGCCCACTTTTCCTTCCCCTTTCCTGCTCAGTCTGCCATTATTAATTATTGTTTGGGTTCTGAAATGCATCCATTCTCTGCATGGCTGGAATTTACTAGTTAGACTGGCTAAATTTAGTAGTCACATTTTGATTTTTTTTTTTTTTCATATAACATTTTATATAAATATCTAAGAGAATGTGTAAAATTAAAAAATCTTGATAATTCAAATTTTAAGAATGATGATGAAATTTTTTTAATATTTTTAATAAATTATCTCGTACAAAAGTTTATTAAAAATATTTAAATAATTTAAAAATTATTTTAATACTTTAAATATTATAACGTTTTAATTTTTTAATAAATTTTTTAAAGAAATAAAGTTCAATATTTTTTATAATTATTAATAAAATGATAAACCTTTTAATATTAAAAATACACCACTCTATTAATAGTTAAAAGTATTATATCTAACTCCACCGTAACGTTTTAAAAAATTTTTCATCAACTATAACCTGAAATGATTGTCTCTAGTTTTATATAACATGGAATCCAACATTTCTTATGTGGTCCAAGTGGTCATGTTTTTTTGTGTAAAAAATAAGGTAGAATATATCATATGATCATCAGGTTAATTTTTCGATTGGTATTTAAATAGATATTAACTTATTAATCATATTTCCAACGGTTAAAAAAAAAACATGGAATCTAAAATCAATTAAAAAATGAAAAACTGGGTACCTATACAAAAACGCAAATTCAATCCTTAATTAAACGCTAAAATACCTTAAAACTGTTCCACTCAACACCATCAAATAAAAGGTAAAAACCAACATTTAGTCCCTCACTTTATAAAATTGATAAGTTTTAACCTCTCACCTTATAATATGACAATTTTAGCTTTTTATCTTACAAAATTAGTAAGTTTTAGCTCCCCACCTTACAAAATTGGTAGGTTTTAATCCCTTAACTTATATTATGATATTTTTAACCCCTCACTGATACGAATTAAAGAAAATAACCCTCACATAATATCAAGTTATAACGTTCTACTAGTTTTGTTAGTTGACTATTAACATTTGTTAGCATTTCGTTATAAAAAACATGAAATTTAAATTCAATTTTATTTGTTAGTTCCATTAATGGAATGCTGACGGATACTAACAGTTAATTAACAGAACTAATAGTCAGCTAACAGAACTAACAGTCAGCTAACAAAATTGACAGTCGGTTAACAAAACTAATAAAACATTATAACCTGATGTTAAATAAGGATTATTTTCTTCAATTCGTATAAATAAGAGGCTAAAAGTATCATAATATAAGGTGAGAGATTAAAACCTACTAACTTTATAAGATAAGGGATTAAACATACCAATTTTATAGGGTAAAGAGCTAAAAATATCATATTATAAAGTTACGAGTTAAAACCTACTAATTTTGTAAGGTGAGGGGCTCAAGTTGGTTTTAACCCAAATCAAACGTGATGGAAGCATTGACTTGGTGCGTTTTTTTAAAATATTTATATGGCCGGGAGAAGATGGTGATGTGGGTACGCGCAAAGCCAGCCGGAATGCCATTCAATGCGCACAGATTCAGCCTTTTACAATGCAATGCAAATTCATAAATATATATAGCATTCGGATAGCTACCACACTTAAAATGCCACTTGTTCTTTTCAGTCCTCAATTATGATACAACAAATTTGAAAATAATTGTACTCTCAATTTAATAAAAATATGGTATTACATAGTTTGAATTACATTAAGTAGAAAAAAAAAAGGTACCCCTTTAAAAATTGAAAAATAAAAATTAATTTAAAATAAAATTTAACTAAAAAATAACAGTTATTTTATAAAAAAAGAATAATTCTCTAACCACACAATCACACAGCATAATTGATGGTATTTTTCTTAGATTATTAAAATATTGTTAATAAAACTTTTTTCTATTAATATTTATTAATAATAATTTAATAATTTAAGTCTCTAAATTATATTTTTAACATACAATCTAATTTGAAAACACAAAACCGTTTTTCTTATACTATTATTAATTAGTTCGGAATATGATTATCAATGAGGTGTGAATATTGCCACAATCAATATTGTTAAATCCATTAAAATTTTAATTTTTAAAATAGTATTTTAAAATATTTATTTGTTGACGAATTTTAATTTATTAATTAATAAATATAAATTATTTTATAAATTATTAATTAATATAATTAAAATTATTAGTTATTTTTATCAATCAAATTAAACAAAATTCATATTTTTAAGATAATACTTTACAATTTTAATGGCCATAAAACCGTGGCCTTTTCGAAGATGAATACGTTTTGGGAACTGAATGATACTTTAAAATTATATTGGATGTTAATTTATTTAGAGTTAAGTCATATCAAATTGATAATAAAAAAACTCTCTTAATATTTATTTTTTTATTGATAAGAATCAAATTCAAATTTTTATTAAAAAAATTAAATTTCTTTAACTCAAACTAATAATTTAATAGTACAGTTCCCTTCTAATTGCTGTTCTTGTTCTTGTTGCTTGATGTTCCTCCAAAATGTTTGAAACATGCCTCCCCGGCTACAAAGCAAAACGCGTAAAATAGTAAATAAATTTAATTTTTTTTTCTTTTGCCCCCTGCATCTCCGGCTGCATTGTTTAGTGCCATTCGAAACGTAAATAATAATTAAGAAAATTTTAATTAAAAATTTTCAAAAAATAAAATAAAATATCTGCTGTTAGATCATTTTATTCAACGGCATTGAATTATAGAATTGCACTACCAGACCCCAAACTCATTAAAATAAAAAATAAATAAAGAAAGAAAGAAAGAAAAAGAATAGAGCAGTCTCTTTACAGGGAGACAATTTGCCTTTAAACCAGAACTCTAATGGATCTTCAATAGATTAAAATTCTGTATCTATTTTGCTTTTAAAAAGAACAATTGAAAAAAAACTCTCATTATTTATGCTCTTATAAATTTTAAAGATATAATTAAATAATATTTATTAAAACTACATGATTTTGAAAAATATGTCTTCAAAATTATGTATTTATTATATATAATATATATAATAAAATAAATAATATAATGTGTGTATATATATGTATATAATTGCTTTGCTTTTTTTAGGCCAATTATATAATTGATCTGTTTATCATTGTGGTTTTTTTTATACATAGAAATTAGATATTAAATCATGAATTTTTAATTAAAAAAATAAAGAATTTTACTATCAAAATATATAAGTGGGGATTGTTCACTGTTGTAGAATCCATTCATGATAGATGAATTAACATGAGGTGGGACGCATACCTTTGTGCAATGCTGTTTGGTAAGGTCGCAGAAGTGCAGAACATTTATTAAACAAAAATTAAATCATGTCTCTGAGTTTTCAATTTCAACATTATTATTTTTCCCTCGTACGTACCATATGCTAAATTCAATTTTCATTTCTTCATTTTTTCCCTTCAATAGATGTTTTTTTTTTTTGGCCATTCTTAAATATTGATCTGTTGTGAACAAAATATATGAGAATATTCTGCAAAATATCTCATGATAAAATTGAAAGTGATTACCCACAATTTTATCTTATATTAAAATAAAAATTTCACAATTAATCATACATGAAAAATAATTAATAAACTAATTAAGGTGTAAATTTAGTATGTATTCATTCATTATATTAATTATTGTAAGATTTTACTTTGATAATTTGTGTGCATCAGCTCCTAATTATATCCTAGCAAGTGCCAGAAAATTCCAGTTGATTTCGTTTTTTTTTTTTTATTGGTAAATATTCGATCGAGTGTACGTATGAAGTAAGGAAAAGTGCATAGTAAATGGACCCGCATGGAGGTTGAATGATAATTGTTCAAAATAAATGTATTCACCATACTTCCATAAATACACAAGTTAACTTAGTAAATCAACACACCAAACCTTCCTCTCTCGCAATCAAAACCCACGTATTTCAAATACCTTATAATCAAATTCTATAAGCTATCATATAAGTGTCATTTTATAAGTTATATTTAAAATTTAAGTATTAACAATATTATAAATATAATGTTATGTAAAATTATAAGTTTACAATTATAATATAACATTAAATAAGTATATTATATTATTAAATGAATAAATACATACAATATTATATATGAACTCGTAAATATAAAAAAAAGTAAATTATATAACGACAAATAATAGTATAAATTTATAATGCCATATGATATTGTAACTATAACATTTTTGTTTAAGTATTGGGTCAACTACTAAACTTATACAAGATACACTTTAACATTATCCGACAAAAGAATTAATGCCAAGATATACACAAGCTAATCTAAAAACACTCTCATGATCTAAATAAAAAAAAATCATAACTAAAATTAATTTTGAAGGAATTAATTTTCTTCCACTTCATTTAGTAATTTTTCATACCAACTGAAAATGGTAAAAAAATATAGTGGTACAAAGTTACAGAGATGAATTTATATATGGGGCATCTGAATTGCCCTTTTTTTCCCTAATCTTAAAGGTATCTTTCCATTTCTCAGAACACAAGTATACAGAAGGACAAGCCTATAATCGTTCAAGAAATTATAAGAACACAAGTATACAGAAGTACAAGCCTATAATCGTTCAAGAAATTATAAGATAGTTAAGGTACCGCCATTTCGTACCAAACTTTTGAAGTGCCCTACCGCTATCCTATAGATTATTAGAGTTCATGTATTCATTCACCATTTACTTAGTTGAATTTAAAAATCTTATAAAATCAGTCCTTGTAAAGTTGGTTTATTTCTACTGTTTAAATACTTAATTCGGTCCTTTAACTTTTAAATTTATATTGAAATTGTCCCTTAACTTAAAAAAAAATCAAAATTATCCTTAAACTTTAATTTTCAGTACCATAATACTCCTTCTGTTAACAAAAATGCTATGTAACTCATTATTTTGCCAGAAATTAATTCTTTTTTAAAATACTAGTGATGTGTAAAATCACACGGTTATATTTTATTATCGTAACATATTTTTATTTACAAATCAGATTGATACATAATTTAAGTTAAAAGATTAAATTGATACTTCTACTTAAAGTTCAAAGGCTAAGTTGATACTTGTTTTCAAAGTTTAAGAACTAACTTGATACTATTTTCAGAGTTTGAGAACTATTTTGGTATTGAAAATTAAAGTTTAAAAGCAACTTTAGTAATTTTCAAAGTTGAGAGATAGTTTTGGTATAAATCTAAAAGTTAAAGTACCAAATTGGTATGTTAACCTATTTCTACAAGTTGATGAATTGAAGAGCTTGGCGAAAAAAATAAAGGGTAAATTGAGGGGCTGATTTGTTACAAAGAGGACTACAATGGTTCTATTGTTGATAATGAAGAAGCTTGAGGACTTGTCTAGAAGCCTTCTGACTGAAGAGGTCCAAAATTTTGCTGTCTTTGGGCTTGGTTTAACATTTGAACTTTCCTATAAAGTGAGAACCAATAGAACTTAGCCCTATAACCATAATCGATAGTCCAACACAAAACGAAACATACCTGGGCCTTTTTCCCTCCCTCCTAAAACCCAAACTTGTTAAGTAATTTTCCTTTTTTCTTTCTTTTTAAAGTTGAACAAAAAGTCTATGAGGTAGAAAATAATCTTTCCCAAGATAAACTCTTTTTCACTTATATCAAGATTCAAATTTAATATCTTTAATTTGGAAACTTAGCTTTTAACCATGGGGATGTTCCCTAAGAGACGAATGATTTTCTCTAATAACATAAGGTATTGATTTCCCCATTAAGGATGTCCCTGTGTTGAAGAGTTAATAGACTGTAATGTGAGAAGTCTTATCTTAAGTTTGAATATTGAGATTAGTGGGGGGAGAGATTTGGAAAGAGAAGCATTATCCCTGTTAGTCTATTACTATATGTTAAAAAAAAAAAAAAAAAAAGAGTATTGTTTGATCATTGATATCATACCAGGCATCGTGCAGTCTGATATATTAACAAAAATTTGTACGATCGAATGTGAAGCTCAGCATCCATTCTATTAAATTTCTGTTTGGTGGGAAAAATGAAAAAATAAAGTCAACAATTTACCAAGAAAAATCAGGATTCCTGTACAACACAAGCAATTTATCTGAATGTTTATTGATCACTGTAAACAAAAACAAACTGCTTCTACCCAAGTCGCCTCATCCTTGAATGTTTCAGCTTAAGTTTATTGTCCCCACCTAATTCACCTTAAGCTTAGCTTGCAATGGGATTCACGCATTTCCACAAAATTTTGCTCAAATTCCTACCTTCAATCCTAATATCTTAGTACCACTGAATGGAACTTTTTCCATCTCAGTTATGCACCTTGATCTTTACTGGTTCTTTGAAACAAACTTCAGAATCTTGCACCATCTCTAAACTTACAAGTTTGATGTTGGCTCCATCTGACTGTATTTCGACTTTGATGATATCCGTGATGATTTTGATGAGTTGGACCTAAGAGAGGTAGCAAACTTCTTCCTCCGCTTCTGTTTCTTTGTAGGATTTGAGACATTAGTTGATGAGGGACTGTCTATACACTTCTGAGATCCCTCTGGCCAATCATAATCTGTAAACAAGAAAAGATTACAATCTGAGCATCCCATATTACCTTCTAACAATATTATGTGATCAAAACTTTCTGATGCCTAAGGAGTGATTTATTGAAAAGAAATATCAAAATCAGTATTTAAAAGGCTTAAACCACAACCAACAGCATAAATGGCATAATGAACAAAAATGAAACCCAACAACATTTCCAAACAAAAGCCTTTAGGCCTCTTTATTATAACCGTGAAAGTGTAAAGGTATGTACTCATCCAGCACGGTTTCCATAATACACAGTTAATTTCATCCGCATATTGTATGAACTTTACTTGATACAAGTAATGCCTTCAATTGTGATATGGTCTGACTATTTAAATTTCATTAACAGGAAATACCCTGTTGAATCGTTGATTGATGAGAAAGAGATTTCTTCCATTGAATGACATAGAACTATGGAGCAAATGTAAGGTCTAATAATATTATAAACCTAATTACTGATCAATGCTGAACAGATGCATCCCTAAAAAGGATATCATGAGGTACTAATAACTCTTAAGAAAAAAACTAACAGAAATTCTAGTAAATGAAGAATAATTAAAGCAAAAATTCTTACAACGGTCCACAGAAGATGAAAATGGTGCATAGCTAAAGCTATGCAGCAGTAGATTCCCCTTATTATAGAAGCTCTCTCTCGTGACAGAAGAGCCAAAATTTTGCTTCTAGGGAGCAAAGAATCTCAAAAACGACTTCCATGTATTAGACTTTTAGTTTTAATGAATTGAAACACCACATTTTAACCCATGAAAAGTCCTATTTTCTATTGTCTCATTAGAAATTCCCCCACATTGTGGCAGCACCGGAATTTCATGACACCCCTTGCCATTACTCAGTTGACATTACGATGTCCAGACAAATCTCTTCTTTTTCCTGTATTTAATTTACTGGACTATCTTTCTACTTAGAAATGAACATGCATTCATGTTATATGATTTTCTGGTGCAACAAACTCTAGAAAGAAGAAAATAAAGGCGAAGGTAGATGGAGAGGAAAACATGCCTTGAGGAGACAATGGATTGGTAGCTTCAGAATTAGAATCTCTTGGGTTAGCACCAAGGGATGTGTTGAAATCAGGTCCTGGCTTGAATTCACTCATCTGCATCATCTCATTCAAAAAGAAGAAGAAGAAGAAAAAAAAAAAGAGATAAAGATATATGAAAAATAAGGATCAATCAAACTATTCAATCATAAGATGGAGAGGAATTTACAAACCCAACTAGGGGGAGTACCAGAAGCCCCATCCCAACCAATGTGTGCAACATGTTTGACATCTGTTGGATACCCAATTTCCATCTCTCGCTCCTTCACAACTACAATCAATACCCTTTTCACATCTTAGCCCCAAATCGAAACCCATATGCAGATATCGAGAAAGATGGAGACTTACCAAAGATTTGGCAAATATATTTGAACCTTTTGTAAATCCTTCTGATTTTGGTAGCCATGGTGCAAACTATAAACAAAATGTAAAAGCCCCTCGAATGAAGAGAGAAGGTTCTTTAGCCTATCAAAACAAAAGCAAACACAAAAAAAGGACAAAAAAAAAAAAAGATTATGCGTATTAGAGGGGAAATTGCAAGCAATTGATTAACTATTTACCTCAGGAAGAAGATTGTTATCTATCCCGAGGTAAACGGAAATATACAAGATAATGCATTAATGATAAAAGATGAATCCTTTTCCCCCATTGACATTATAGATAACAATTAACAAATTACCAAATATAACCCATCTGTCTAATATGGGTATGACGTTTAAAAAAAAAAGAAGGGAGACTCAAGCCAAAAAAAACTTCTCCTTTTATTTCTCCAACTAATGTTCCAATATTCCATTCATTTTGATGAATAAGGGGGACAAAAAATGAAAAAGCAAATGCTTATCTAGAAGAAGAGAAAATTCATCAAACCCAGAAAAAACCCTTTAAGAGAGAAAATGCCACAAAATAAAAGAAAGGGTGTTTAGAATGAGAAGATAGAAGAGTTAAGGGGAAGAAAATGGCAGGCGGGGAGAAAATGAGAACCTTCAAAATGGAAGGTGAAATTTGGGGGCTGTGAAAGACAAAATACAAAAGATAAGGGCCTTTTTTTTTGTTCTTTTTTTCTGGTCAGCAACAGACGAAGACTTGATTGAGTCAAGACATTAAAAAATAAAAAATAGTTATGTTTTCGTTAGGAAGAGGTGTACGGTAAATTTCTCTTTTTTGGGTTGTAGAATGCTTTGTTGTTGAGCACGTAAATCGCAGTCCTCAACCCCATTCTTTCTCTTAATAGATTCAGGCTATATTGCTACACAATAAAA